AACCTGTTGAAGGACTAGCCAGTTAACTCATCTGGTTAGAGTTGGTACTGATAACACCAAGGGTCCAGGGTTCAATCCCTGTTTCAGCCAGCTGCCAACCCCCCCCCCCAACCCAAAAACCTATTGTAGAAATAACTGAGCGGCAAACGGACACGAGTGTGGTTTTTGTTTTTTTAAGGCCTGCTTTTTAACTATTTGAATTAGGAAATTACCTCTCCCCACCCCCCATATGTGCCTTTCTAAGTAGGATTAACATAGAATGTTAATGTTAAGAACTTTATGGAAATGAGTTTTAATTAACAAACTCTGACATTCTGGTTTGTGGTTTCCCTGGAGAACTGGTAATTATTCTTGTCTAGAGGCTGCCCAAGGGACTGTCGAGGGTCACATGTTGTTCCCAAGGCTAAATATTTGATAATTTATAGCCCTTTTGCTAAAGAGATAGACCCTAGTGTTTTACTTTTGATGCTATGGTAAGGATCCAAGATGTGGAAGGCTAAAACTAGAGTTGTACTCTTTTAACACTCGTACTCCTACAATGCTTAGTTAGCATAGGGATGGTGGTAGATCCGATGTTGAAAGCAACCTTAAAACATTATCAGCATTTTTATTGTTTGCAAATACCCAGACACGTATGTTGCTATGAACGCCAAACACAAAGCTCCGTTCTTTTAAAATCTTACAAACCACAAAATATACAAATACTTAGGATTCTCTTAAAGTTTGGCATAGCTAATTAGAAAAATTGTAATGCTAGTATTTCACATCTCTTTTTCCTATTTACCTTAAATATAAGACCAGGGTCTCTCAACCTTGGCATTAAACATTTGGGGCCAGATAATTTTTTGTTGTGGGTGCTGCCTCATGCATGCAAGATGTTTAGCAGCATCTCTGGCCTCTATCCACTAAATGCCAGTAGCATCCCAGCTGCCCACCAATGGTACAACCAAAAATGCCTCTACACATTGTCAAATTTCTAAGTACCACTGATCTAACCTCAGACACAAAATCCTATTCTCAAGCACTTTTGCAATGATAACTTTAACACAATAGTCTTTAGGGTTTTCTATTTTCATTCTTTCTTAACCAATAAATAAGTCTGGCCAAACAAATGGAGAGTTTCACATTTCAACTTTTCACACATACACTCCTAAAGTTGGATTTTTGGGCCTTATTCTTAGGTACAGGAAGATCCTGATACACTGGTACTCTATGGAAATAGTTCTGTATTTTTTGAGTGTACAAAAAATGGTCAGAAACATCCTTGAGAGTAGCTTTAAAATGTCAGTAGATAACACCATAAATAATCCACACAAAAATTCCACAAGCATTTATTAAACACCTACTATGTGCTCAGTATTTCTGGAAGTACTGGCCAAGGCATTTAGACAAAAGAAAGAAATATATATATTGGAAAGAACGGAGCAAAATTATTTTTTGCAGGTGATATTATTATATATACAGATAATTAACTATAAAACTATTTTTTTTTTTAAATTCCACAAGCATTTATTAAACACCTACTATGTGCTCAGCGCTGCACTAGGCACTAGGGGATGCAGAGATACAAATGTGAAAGTTATTATTCCTGCCCTCAAGGAGCTTACAATTTAATTTTGGAAATAAATACAAATGTGAAACTACAATACAGAATGCTAGAAAATAATTACAAAGCAACATATTAGTAAGTGCATGGACCACAGTAAAAACTCAAAAGATGCTGAGGCAGCACAAAAGAAGGGAGGACTCAGTGTGAGATGAAGCTCAGGAAAAGCTCACTCAGATGATATAAAAGCAGCTAGGATTTGAAGGGAGTGATGAACATGAGCTGGGGCCAAAGAGCAATCTAAGCAAAGGAACAGCATGAGAAAGGCACATAGGCAAGGGCTTATAAGACAGCAATAGAAGGCTGTAGGAAGTTTGAATATGATGATTAAGGTGAATATGCTAGAGAGTAATGAAAGCTGAAGCAGATTAAGCACGGAGGACAAAGTAATGGAGAATTTGGAAACCACTGCTCTGTTAGGAATTATCTGCTGGGCATTACTGAGTGAAAATGAGAAATGAAAATGAAGTTTGAGAGGCTCATCTTGGGATGGGGATCCTGAGAACAAGGAAATTTAAAAGAAAGAATTATAGTAACCTGGGAGTTAGATGATGCAGATCTGCATGGAAGGCTATAAGGGCATGGTAGATATGAAAAGATCAACCCTCAAGAAGACTAAGAATTGGATAGAGAGCAAGATTTTGGATGTGGAGAGTAGAGGAAAGGAGAAGATAACTTCAAGGTTGGGATAAAAAATATGAAGGGTAGTGAGTCTGTTCAGGGTAAAGTAATTAAGCAATGATGACTATTTAAAAAGAAAATGGGGGTTGGAGGATAAGAGTGATGGGTTCTGTTTTCAAATACCAGTCGTGTAGGTACTTGTGGAAAATTCCACAAGTTGCAAGATGACCCACAGGGTGGGAAATAAAAAGTCACTCAAATACAGAAAGTAAGTGTAAACAATCAAACTGTATAAAGAAGAATATAGAAAAAGCTGTGAATAAAAATAAAACAAGGGGGTTATTCTCAGTGGAGAGGAGAAGAAAAAAAAAGGCCAATATAGAAAAGCCAGATATTCTGGAAAACTGACCTAGAAGGATTCCACAAATCAAAGAAGAGAATTCCTGAGGTGTAGGAAGAATTCAACAATATGAAATATAAATGAGAACAAGAAGGACAAGAACTAAAAAAAAACGGCCTTAATATTTACCTACTGGTGATTCTAAGGACATTCAGTGGAATACTGAATATGAAAGACAGTAAGGAGAAGTTTTAAGAATAGATTAGTGAGGAAATGGGGTTGAAGAATAGATGACATTTTGGAAAAACCAGAAATGACAGAGGAAAAAGAGAATGGTAGTTGGAAACGAGCAATGAGGTTGAAGGTTTTTCACATTTTATGCTGTAGATGAACTTACTATTATCATTCTAACTGTCCATCTGCCTGGTCTGGTATATGAATATTTCATTTCTTTCCACAATTCTACATTCCCTTACACAGTTTAGAGAGATACGTATTTGAATCTGTAAGTTGTTATTGCTTTACCCTCCCAGTTACTTTTTAAAACATGTTTATTTGCACAACTTATCTAATACTACAAAGCATCAAAAGTATCAACATTAAAGATAATATAACCCAAAATAGCATTTTCAACCACATTTTCTAGTAAGTGCAATAGATTTGCACTATACTGCACATTCTCTTCACCAGGACCTCTCATGACCAGGGATACATATGTTTTGAATGGATGGCCAGAATTATGGTGTTCATTACAGGCAGCATTCACAGTGGTCAGAAGCACAGGCTCTAGAATCAGACTGTGTTGGTTAGAATCTGTTCTATCACTTTCTGGCTGTGTGACAGTGGTCAGCTCATTTAACTCTTAAAGCCTCAGTTTCCTCATCTATGAAATGGGGAATATAATAATGATATCTATCATAAGTATAAGAAATGCTTAACATAGGGTTTGACACACAGTAAGTGCTCAATAAATGTCAGCTATTATTATCTGGAGACTCAGAACCAAGATAAAGTTAACTGCTCCATCTGGGAATCATTCACCACATACCAGCACTGCCACCTTGCTCCACAGAGAAAATCTTTGAAACCTAAGATGCTTCTCTAGGACTATCACGGATGGCAACAGAGTTATGGAAGAACCACCTTATGCTGCCGGGTCCTAAAACGAGAAGCTGAAAATGGGAGAAGTACTGTTGGATAGTTCATTCCCAATTAAGAGCATAAAAATACAATCTGTAGAATAAAGGAGCTTAATGCATGCCATTCATAGTTAAGAGCTCAAAATATCATATAGATGGATCAATAATATTCTAATGCTGAGTAAGAACTTGAGACCAGGAATGACTTCTATTATGTCCCCAAACAATCCACAGCCTTTTTCTATTATTTCATACAACTTTGCTATTTTTATAGATGTGCTCAATCAGCCTTGATAATTCTTTCAAGTGAGTCTTTTCTCACATTCATCCCATTAAAACAGTAACCTTTCTAGTCATATTATTCGCTTTTCTCTAAATTTCTGCCAGATGTTTGGTAATTCCGAGATTTAAGTAATCTGGCTACACATCATTCTAGGTACTGATGTCTAAAGAGACATTAGCTGGTACATCCATAGACATTTCAATGTGTTGCTTTGCTAAAATACCTTTTTATTAGAATAGAAATCAAGTGTTCCTCTAAAGCATATGGAAGGAGAGTGTGTGTGTACATACATGTGCGCACATACACATGCATTTTCCCTCTGTACCCATCCTATGTTATATTTGCACACAAGGTAGCAATGGCCCCAGGAAGAATTAGCATCTTACAGAGGGGTAAGGCACAACTGAAGCTGAGAGCAAGGATCTAGACACAACCAGATTTACTTGTTTCCAGTTTTTTGAAATTTCAAGTACATGGGAATTAGAAATGGTAATCTATAGGTCAAAAAAGAAAAAAAGAGAAGGGAGGATAAGAAATAAAAGATAACGAAAAAGACTGTTTTGAAAAATTAACCAAGTAAACAAGGATGACAAGTGTCTACTGGGTACCAATGGCTCAATGAAATAGATGTAGATAAACATGACATTGTTAGTGGTCAGGATGGGCCACAGGGAGGTGGAGAAGGGATGTTTTAAGGAAGACATTTATGATCCAAAAGGTGGACCTTTATGAGGTAAGATTTTATGATTGATTTCTTAACACATCAATCATAAAATAACATGATTAAGTGTTATCTTTTTTCAGGATAGTCACAGTGTGAAATTGTGTTACTTCTCTTGGAGTTTTCATCAGAACCTATATAATTTTCTTCTGAATAGACTTAATAGAATCCATTTCAAGTTTGAGGGTTAATTTTGGAAAACCAAAAGTTACTTGATTCCAAGTCTGGTGAGTAAGTGACTACTCAAATGGTCAAAAAGGAAATGTGACTAAGAGTAATACAGCGTTTTAAACAGGAATTCTAAGAGTGTTCCAAATATTTAGAGGGATAGTAGCACTACTGGAACAACAGTATTTTGGATTAACTATTACTACCCAGTTTAAAAGACAACCCATATTGGATGCATAAGCTCTGGCATGTTACTTTAAGTCAGTTCCATTACTTTATACAGTATCCCTTGGTAGACAGAAAGCCTCAAAGATGAAATACATTATCTGGTGATGATGTGTATAATAGTGTGTCTTTGTTGGTAGATTACAGACGTGGATTACATACAAATGGAATGCACCAGAATGCAGAATGAGAATTGTGAGCTAAGGTATTTGACCAATAACATTGTGGATATTAAAGTTATATAAACTAATGGCAAGAAACAGAGAATGATGAGCAAGCTGCTGACACCACTGAAGGAGGTGGGTCCAAGATAATGACAAGAGTGACAGACTATGCAGTCAGGGAGTTTCTGCAGGTTGATAGGAACCTGAGAGAGCAGTACTGTAATGGGCCAAAAGGGATGAGTGTACATTCTTTGAAAGGATTTTTATGTCTTCTTCAAGCACCTCTGTCTCCTTTCTCCTGTGTGATGCCAGAGCTAGGACAGTGTAAATACCTATTTGAACCACAGTGTACAGTGGGGAAGTGGAAGGAGAATCAGAAGTTACCAAAAGGTACAACTATCTAAGCTCAAGAGCAGCTGAGCTGAGTCTCCACTCACCTCTTTCTTGGTATCACTCCCACAACCACCACTAATACGTCCACACTTCCTTTGCTGACACAGGTACTGGGACTGGGGGTGGTGAAGGAAATATACAGATGCTCAATGACTCAGTGGAGTCAGTGAAGGTGATATATTAAGAAAAATGCTGGAGTGCTGTTAAAAATATAGCATTCTGAGTTTGTGTGGGAATATGGATTTCCACTGACTAGAAAGAACATTAGAATAAAAAAATGCACACTAAGCATAAATACATTATATCTGTAAAAATTTCCCTAGAACTAGGATCTTAGAAAGCTAAATACAAATATAAATCTCACACATAGGCTGCTTTGAACTCTAGAGCAGCTTCTTAGATCAGATTAGGAGTAAAAGGGTACCTTCAGGGAAATCAACAGGAGAAGGTGATCGATCACAGGAGATGGGAAGAAGCAAAGGAACTACGAGTAGCAGCCTCTCAAACCTACAGCTACTCACCAAAAGACAAAGTGAGGTGCCTCAAACCAAGATAAGAAACTTGCTCTAATGCTATTTTAAATTTTCAAAGGATACATTAGGCCATTGAGAGCTCCACTCCATCAGACACCTCCAAAGATAGTCAAGCTAATCAACCTGCCTCAAGGCACTGGGGCCAAACCACTAACGAGCTATACTAACTTTGCCACCACTATAGATTCTGACATTAGATAAAGTTCCCACAATGACAACTTTCTGCCTTTTTTAGTACACTGAAAGACCTCTCATCAGTGCATAGTTTCTCTAATGTTGAATAATGCTCAAACTTATGACTGAAGCTGAAGCTTTTCCTAAACTCCTATGGATTCAGATTTTTCTCCACTGTGGATTCTCTGATGTCGAATGAGACTAGACCTCTGAATAAAGGCTTTGCCACACTCATTACATTGATAGGGCTTCTCCCCTGTGTGGATTCTTAGATGTTGGATGAGGCCAGTGTTCCCATTGAAAGCTTTCCCACATTCTTTACATTTATAGGGTCTTTCTCCAGTGTGGATTCTCTGATGTTCAATAAGGCCTGACTTCTGACTGAAGGCCCTCCCACACTCATTGCATTTGTAAGGTTTCTCCCCAGTGTGGCTTCTCTGATGGCCAATAAGATGTGAGCTCCGCCTGAAGGTTTTCCCACACTCATCACATTCATAAGGCTTCTCCCCAGTGTGGATTCTCTGATGTCCAATGAGGTGTGAGCTATGACTGAAAGCTTTCCCACACTCATTGCATTCATAGGGTCTCTCCCCACTGTGAATTCTCTGGTGCAGAATAAGGCCCGCACTCTGACTGAAAGCCTTCCCACACTGATTGCACTGATATGGCTTCTCCCCAGTGTGAATTCTCTGGTGCAGGATCAGGCCTGTGTTCTGACTGAAGGCTTTACCACACTCCTTACAGTGATAGCGTTTTACTTTGTTGTGAATATCCTGATGGGAAAGAAGGGCTGACCTGTAACTGAAGGCTTTACCACATACATTACACTGATAGGGTTTCTCCCCAGTGTGGATTCTCCAGTGGCGAACAAGGCCTGAGCTCTGAGCAAAGCTTTTCCCACATTCATCACATTTATGTCGTCTCTCCTGTGTGGGATTTCCCCGCTGCCTCTCTAATCTGCCCAGGAGGTCTCGGGCTTCTCCATGCTTAAGACCCCCGATAATATCCCCGTTGCATATGGCTGCTGTCTCTCCATGTGGTGGGATTCCAGTAGATATTACCTGTTTTGAGGCTAATTCCCTGTTCTCATTCCTGGTCTCACCACCTGAAATAAAAATTTAATAAGTAAATATCAAGCTAATGTCACTTCCTATTCTCTACACTACGAGAAAGGAATTGAAAATAGGGGAAAAGGAAACTACACATGAGGCCGGCCTGTGGCTCACTTGGGAGAGTGCGGTGCTGATAACACCAAGGCCACGGGTTCGGATCCTATATAGGGATGGCCGGTTGGCTCACTAGCTGAGCATGGTGTTCACAACACCAAGCCAAGGGTTGAGATCCCCTTACAGGTCATCTTTAGAAAAAAAAAAAAAGGAAAGTACATATGGAATAGCTACGAGTAAACAAAAAGTTTTTATTTGTCTCCCAAATGGCTTCATAATAGTAGAAGATATGAGCAGCATCAAACAGAAGTACCACAGGCCAACTGTGGAAGAGGCACCATGAAAAAAGAGGGTTACTGGAAGGAGGACTAAAGTGGAGAAGGGATTGACTGAAGAGAAGTGGAAGTTGGGGAGTGGGAAGGAATATGGAACTACTAAAAAGATCTAATGAGTAGGATAGAAATGGGCAAATACCCCAAACAGTCATTAAAAGGGAGGAGGCACAATAGGCTTACGTGAGAAAAACCTATGTAAAGATCCTATTGGAAATGAAAGAAAAAAATGTGTGAACTCAGAGAACACCAGAGAGCTGTCAATTTAACTGGCAAACAAACCAACGCACAGGTACAAACAGAAAGTTAGTCCTCAAAAGTTTCAAGACTGATGTTGTATCCCTCTGTTGGATCCCAAGTTTAAACTTAACTATGTCTGTCAGGAAGCTCACAGCTACCATACACATAAAAACAAACAAAAAATCTTAAATGATAATAACCACAGCTCTCCTTACCCAGGGAGAACATGTTTCTGTAATTCTCTGGCTTGTTATCTCTATTCAGATTTTTCTGTGATGGGTCAAGAAGCCACTCCTCCTGAATAAGGGACACAGCCATGTCTTCGATCTTCTCCAAAGTCTGAAACAAAACAAGATCCCCATTTGGGGAATGGGACTGTTCCACAGCTCAAACCTAGAGTTTCAGAGATCCACCAATGTTGGAAGAGAATTAAAAGGTGGGAATGTACTATATAAAGGGATGTGAATAGCCAGGAAGAAGAGGAAAACACATTAGATTTATTGGGGGAAATCAAGGATCAATGTCTTTATGCAAAAGAATTTGGGCAAGCTCTTGGGTAGGTACTGCTACAGACAGTCCAGACATGGGACAGATATCACAAACACTGACTGCCAAACAGAGCGATGGAGTTTCAGTGAGAAGAAGCACAACTCACCTGGAACCCTGCTGTAAGAAGTGTAGCTGTCATCTCCTGGTCTCCAGAACTTCCCTTCTGGGAAGGGGTAGGACTCTGAGAAGTAGACATGGCTGAGAGAGGAGAAAGGAGCTATGAATGATACCAGACCTGTCCTGTGGTTGTGGGAGCCACCACTCACCCATTTCAAATTATCTGTATTTCAGCAGATATGCATGCCAAAGATTTTGCATATAAAGTGCTAATATCTTAGACTCTGGCCTGTACCTATAGTTGCCCACAAAACATCTGCACTTTGATGTCCCTGAACTTGGCCTGCAGTTACAGTCAATGATAGAAAGTGTACTGGTTTCCTAACAAGAATCGCTTTCCAATTTCTTCCCTACTACCAAGACTACTTGTATCCTTGTATTTGTGTACAGTATCTGTTTAGGTCCTGATCTCTTAGCAAACTGAATATGATAACCAATCGATCTCTATTAACTCAGTTACCCTTCTGAAATGTCTACCATGACTGTCAGTACTTGGTTCCAATAGATATCAGACAGTTTATTACCAAAATCAACACAGACTTCTATGTCTCAGGCAACAAGCATTAGGATTTTAGACAAGAATTATATTATTAATTGAAAGTGTTTCTATGTTTATTCTTTAGAAATGTTAGAAACACATTTATAAGAAACAAACTATTATAAACCACATGAACGAAAAATACAAAATGCAGGGGAAGATAAGATTAGAACATCTTGTTTTGCAATAAAGTAAGAAAATTTTCAAAAAATGATGGGAAGGGCCGGCCCGGTGGTGCACTGGATAAGTGCGCCACTTGGGAAGCGCGGCGGCGCTCCCGCCCGAGGGTTCGGATCCCACATGCAGACCGGTTCCCGCTCACTGGCTGAGCGAGGCACGGGAGCAACACCGAGGG